GACTGTTATCTGGGGTCCAGTCGAGTGTGGGGCAGGTCGCTGCCTGTCATCGGGGGTCCACTCGAGCGCCGGGCAGCGCGCTGACGGTCATCGGGTGTCCAGTCGAGTGCTGGCCAGGTTGCTGACGGTCATCGGGGGTCCATTCGAGCGCCGGGCAGCGCGCTGACGGTCATCGGGGGTCCAGTCGAGCGCCGGGCAGTGCGCTGACTGTCATCTGGGGTCCAGTCGAGTGTGGGGCAGGTCGCTGCCTGTCATCGGGGGTCCACTCGAGCGCCGAGCAGCGCGCTGACGGTCATCGGGGGTCCAGTCGAGTGCAGGGCAGGTCGCTGACGGTCATCGGGGGTCCAGTCGAGCGCCGGGCAGCGCGCTGACGGTCATCGGGGGTCCAGTCGAGCGCCGGGCAGTGCGCTGACTGTCATCTGGGGTCCAGTCGAGTGTGGGGCAGGTCGCTGCCTGTCATCGGGGGTCCACTCGAGCGCCGGGCAGCGCGCTGACGGTCATCGGGTGTCCAGTCGAGTGCTGGGCAGGTTGCTGACGGTCATCGGGGGTCCAGTCGAACGCCGGGCAGCGCGCTGACGGTCATCGGGTGTCCAGTCGAGTGCTGGGCAGGTCGCTGACGGTCATCGGGGGTCCAGTCGAGCGCCGGGCAGCGCGCTGACGGTCATCGGGGGTCCAGTCGAGCGCCGGGCAGCGCGCTGACGGTCATCGGGTGTCCAGTCGAGTGCTGGGCAGGTTGCTGACGGTCATCGGGGGTCCAGTCGAACGCCGGGCAGCGCGCTGACGGTCATCGGGTGTCCAGTCGAGTGCTGGGCAGGTTGCTGACGGTCATCGGGAGTCCAGTCGAGCGCCGGGCAGCGCGCTGCCGCGGCCGCTAACGTCACATCGCTGCCGTGGTCCCAAACCGCGCCCTGGTCGGCGGACCGGCGGCAAGGGTTTGCTGGTCTTGCAGGGTCCAGGTGGGGAAAGACGTGCCGCATACTTGAGACGTATTTGGCACCACGAAACAGGTGTTTTGGGGTCCTTCGGGCACAAAGGCAGAACGTCTTAGTGGGAAAGTCCAGAACACAATGGAACAACCGGTTAAAAGGGCGAGACGGCCCTCTGGCTGCCCTTCTTTCTAACTGCTCTGGTGAAGGTACGTTGGTCATGGAGCGGATAAGGCAAGGGTGGCTCGATGGACACATCACGCCATCACGTTATCACGTCTGATGAAGTACATGACAAAATTGGACAACAGGATTTGATTGACATTAAATACTGGAACCGAGAGCTACGAATCGGGGATTATCCGGACAATCTTGTGAAGAAGGAAAGAGCATGTAACTCGAAATAAAGTTGTTCTTGCCAGCCGTTCCTCCCCACAGTCACCTTGTTGACCCCGCAAAACCAATAGACGTGCTATTATCACCTACCCGGAATGTCAGAGACATCAAGTTCAGCAGTACCCATGTGCCGTTCCTCGGGTGACTTTGTGCCGCGCGCGTACTGGGCGCCCGCAGGTGTAGTCGGCTGCTGAAGTCGGCATTGGCATGGCGACCGATCGTGAACACGACGGCGATTAAAGCGTCCGTCCGAGCCTGATGAGCGGTCCGATAATCCAGTAGTAAATCTGGCCTTGCCCGTCCCTGCTCCCAATCGTATTTCAGCGCCTGTATGCCCGCTGCCGGGGCGCGCCGGTCGCCGTGCGCGAGTCAGGGGCGGCCACTGTGTCAGAGGCTGTACGCCGGGCCGGTGGGGGCCCGACGGGCGGCGACGCCAGAGCCTGTACGCCCCGTCGGCCCGGTGGGCCCTGTGCCGCGCCGGTGGCTCGATACGGTGGGTCGCAGCCCGCGCCGGCGTCTGTGCCGTTCCGTCCAGCTCGGTGGATATTCGTGTTCGTGGGGAGTGGCATGGCCGCGGCGACCACCCCGGAGCGAGGAACAACCGCGCTTGTCGGCTAGGCGGCGGAGTCAACGCCGGGTCTGCCCATTCTATGGTGGTACGTACTGGCACTGGAACGGACTTTGGCAGCTACCTGCGGCGGTGTTCCCTCTCAAAGAATGTGCTTTGCTTACGTTCTGACCGTACAGTGCCTTAATTGTTTACTTATTTTTTGCTGACTCGATCTGAAGCCAGCTTGGTAATGTGAACATCCTTTGTCGCGTTTCAGCGTTGTTTCTTAGCGACATTCGGTTGTGGACCTGGTTCTGTTATGGTAGCGTGAAAATAACCATCAACATTGGCGTTGAGGGCCTCGGCCATGTGCTCCTGCAAGCGGGGGAAATTCCACGAACCTTGAATCTCAGAGCAGATGACGTAGGCGCTGATAATCCGTCCCCCTTCCCGTTTGATCTATATGGGCGCTCGGTGTGTCAACTGGCACGTGACATGACCATTGACGAATACCCTCTCTGATCAGCTGATAGTTGAATGAGTAAGAAAAGCGGCCGTTTTTGGATGACTTTGTCGGCGGGGAGGCAGACGGGGGTTCGTGGCGCCACACGCCGACGGCCGGTTGACCGAGCTTTATTTTTGCGTTGGCGCGGCTTTTAATATGGCGACGTCAATATTGCACGCTGTTTGCTTCTGCCAAATAGGTTACCTTGCTCTGCGTGATAAGACGGTCAGGGTTAACGTGCCTGGCAATTTTGACCGGCCTCCGGCAATGTTTGACACATATTGCAAATATTTTTTACATTTACTCCGTGACCGAGAGGATTGATTATATCCTTCCCCGTTTGACTACAATGAGAGCAGCAATAAAGGTAGTAAACACGCCTGCGGAGCGGCCACGTGGGTTTGTGGGCGGGGCGGGGCGCGGCCGTTGTCGGCGTCCGTTGGCGGCGCGCTCGGCCGGCCCTTCAGGGCTCATTAAGCTGGCGGGAGTGGCCGCAGCTGCACGCTGTTGTGACTCCGGCCGGCCCGTGCCGACGTCGGATCGGACTGGCGGCGTACGCACGGCTCCACGTGGCGCCGGGCGTAGTGCGGCCGCGGACGGGCTCGGCGCCGGCCGGCTGCGGCGCACTCGCGCGACGGCCGGGAAAATGGCGCTGGCTGGCACGGGCAGGGCTGGGCCCGGCGCTGGCCGGCCGGCGGGCCGGAGGCTTACACGGCCGCCGGCTCGGAAGGTCGGCTGCGGGCGGTACTGCTCGGCTCTCTGACGCGTATGCTTACACGGGGGATGGAGAAGGAGAGGCATATTGAACACTCAAAGCTGTGCTCAGCCCGGGTTCATCATGCATAACGCGAGAGGTGGATTTGAGTGGACTCGGGACAGTGAAGTGTGCGAGCTACCCTGGTGTTTTGGAGCTCGGGCCCGATCCAGCCAGGACGTGATTGGTGTTCAAGTGATTGCGATTGGTGGATACAGACTATAAATGTAATATAGGAACCCATTTTTGCCCATGCAGGAGTTTCTAGCATGCTCTTGGGTGTCATGCTATCGCACGGTATTTACAACGCTTCAGATGTACATTTTATATTCCACGATGGAGGTGGCATGCCTGTGTGGTTGAGGCTGCGGGCTGCGGGCTGTTTAATGCATTTTTTCGGGCTCAGTTGTGAACGTGTGTTCTGAAATTGTTCGGCAGGTACTGCCGCTGAAGATCAGAATACTACAATGTACGACAGATCACTTAAAACGTGCGATCCGAAGCTTTTCCACGTTATGTGCTCGGCGCACGCAGGCCGCCAGCTTCCCAACATTTTGCCCAGCACATATCTTGTTGGGAGTCGGCTTAAGGACGTTGATCGGTTGAGTTGGAGGTCCGCTGCGGCGGAGTGGCAGCCCGACGCCTGGCCACCGTCAGCCGCTCGGGCCATCCGACACGCGGCCGTGGCCACCGTCGGCCACTCGGGCCGTCCGACACGCGACCGTGGCCACCGTCAGTCACTTGGGCCGTCCGACTTTCGGCCGCGGCCACCTTCAGCCGTTCGGCGTGCGGCGCACCCCACGCCGTCCGAAACGCGGCCGGCGGCCGGCTTGCGAGCACACGGCCCGCGGAGGTGCCGGGCTTCCCTGGCATCGCGTGCGCGCGCCCGCTGGAGTGGACGTGACGCAGAGCCACTTGCCTCGACCAGGACGTCGGCTTCGTGGAAGTCGGACGTTTCTTGGGCGGCTTTCTTTGGCAGGATCCACGGCAGCGCTGTCGCAACGTGTGAGAATGCTCCACCGCGTGCTGGCTGCCGCTGTGCCGTGTACGTGAGATATGATTCTGGCGCCATTGCGTTGCATGGCATTGTGTAGGTGGACGTGTCTGTTGTTCACATTACGGAGGTGTTTGGGACATCTGTGCGTATGACTGTGCTGTGGCGGCCTGGAGCCACTTCGGTGATTGGAAACCTTCCATCATCCCTCTGACAGTAGGATGCCCCATCTATTATCGTATCCGTCTGTGTACGTTTGTTGTTCCATGTGGAAAGCACGTTTTCCATTAATCGGCTGTTGGTGCAAAGAGCTGTGCATTGCCGTTTCGACGATGTGCTATCTGCCTTTCCGACAGCCGTCTGCTGTTCGCTCTTCTGCTTTTTGTCACTACGTGTCAGTGCGGTCCTGCAGGCGGCGGCGGCAGGCCGGCCTTCGCCGCCGCCGCCGCCAGCTCATCACACAGGCCGGCGGGCGACCCGCTTCCTGGCCTGACCTGCACCACCATCCGCCGCCGGCGGCGCCGCTCGTCCCAGCGCGCGCCGGACTGCGTGACGCGACCTCGCGGGTGGCGGCCGGCCCGTGTCCGGCCCGTGTCCGGCGCTGCGGGCGGCGGTCAGCTATGTGAGGCGGCGACCCGCTCCGGCGGACGCGGCGGTCGTTCCGTGTCCGGTCCGGGTCCGGTCCGGGTCCGGTTCGGGTCCGGTCCGGGACCGGCGCTGCGGGCGGCGGTCAGCTGTGTGTGGCGACAGCCTGCCCCGGCGGACGCGGGCGGTTGGTCTGTGTCGGCTGCGTGTCGTGTGGCGCGGCCGGCAGATGTGTGTCGGGTGTGCCCCGGTGCGGAGCCGCCCTGACCCGACGCTGTCTGCCGTTGCAGGAGGTGGGCGCGAGCGACGCGCCAGGCGGTGACTCCGGGCCCGGCTCGAGCGGCCAGGGGCCGCGGCCGCCGCCATCGCCCACCAGCTCGGCCGGCTCGCGCTCCATGTCACCGGCCGTAGGTAAGCGCTGCTGACCCACCTGACTCCCCGGCAGCGGGGCCCGGCGACCGTCCGCCACGGGCTCCCACGCGTCAGGGGTCGGCTGCACCGTTACGTGTGCCGACGGTCGCCAATCGCCACGTCGTCTCGCGTAACCGCTGTCTTCATCTCTGGGACGGGCTTCTTTGCGAACGTGTGCGCTGGGCTTGAATCGCCGAAGGGGTAGTTTTTAGGTTATATTTTGCCCCTGTTGTGATGGACGGAGACGGCCTGCATGAGGACCTGCGTTCGCATGTCGGTGGGAGCGGGCGCATTGCGTTGCCGATTCATGATACGCCCGAGTGCAAGCAACGGTTAATCTTCGGCTGAGTGGTTTAAAAAGTACCGTCTACATTGGCATAACAAACCATGCACAGTTATCACGCGACCGGTGCGAGCCCATGGGACTGGTCGCCATTAGCGCGGGGCGTTCTGTGGTCTGGCCGCTGTGCTGCCGGACGTGGCCGCGGGAGACCGCTGCCGTCTGAGCGCCTGGCCTCGGACGGCCGGGCTCCGGCAGACCCCGGCTGCGGCCGGACAGTGCGGCGGCCAACGGATCGGGGCCGACCACCGGCGCTACACCGGATACACGGCCGGTGCGGCCGCCAGCCGGCGCACGCGCTGCCGGGGGGGAGGGGTCTGAAGGGGGGGGCGGGGGGGGGGGGGGCAGTGCCCTGGCTGCGTACCGTGCCGCGGACCGCGTCCGTCCGCCGGCCGTCCCCGGCGGTGTCGTGCCGGGCCGGTCTCCTCCGGGCCCCGCTGGTCGATGCGGGCGCCGGGCCGGACCGGCACGGCGCCGACGGGACGACCGGATGGCGGGGGCGGCGCGACCTTGGCCGTGGGAGAGACGCCGTGCCGCCACTGTGTGAGTGGGTAATGGATCGGCCGTATTTGGCGGCGTGCCAGCGTGACGAGCCGACCGTGTCAGTCCGATCGGCCGCCAGATATCAGCTGGGACGCTGTCGCGGCCGGCCGCTGCCCGCGCCGGCGCCGCAGGCCGACAGTGGCCGCGCCGAGCCGGACTCACGTGCTGCCCGGCCATGTGCTCGCGCGCCCCATGCGCTGACCTTCGCGGTGCCAACATTGTGTCGGCGAGAACGGCGTTCCGGGAATCGTTTGGTGGCCCGTCCCGTTTCCCGGAAATTCCACGTCTGCAGTTGTGAGGCAGTTCCGCTTTATTGCGATGACGCAAGGCTGCTAGTGGGGCGCCGGCCGTTGTGGTCGGCTTCCGACGAGTCAGCTCCAGCGGCTTGGGCCGGCATTAATGACGCTTCCCACGCAATTCGTGTGTGTGTGAGTCATCGACCCGGGCCGGCGCATTGTGGCACGGCGCCGCTATGCAAATGATAATGCAGCGGCTGTTTTTATTGGCGCGTGGGCGGACACTTGACGGGCGGCCGCGACCGGCTGTTTACTACAGGCGGGTAGTATTTGGGCCGTGCTCCCCGGCCCGGTCAATGAGTACCCGCCGCCCGCTGATGGCTATCGGTGAGTGGTGGGCCGCCGAGAGGGAGGGGCGGGGAGTCTGCCACCTGCTGCAGCGAGGCGAGGACGGCCATCCCGTCGCGCCGACGGGCCGGCGCCGCGTCTGACCGCCGTGCTCCGCGCCGCCAGGTCAGCCGAACATTCCGATGCCGCCGCGTCCGCCGAGCTCACAGGAGGCCCTGCCGCCGCGGCTGGCGCACTCGCCGCACCAGTACGGCCCGCCGCCGCCGGCCGGCGCCGCCGCGCCGCCGCCACTCGGCCACAAGCCCGGCTACCCGCCGCAGCACGCGCAGTACCCGCCGGCCGGCGCGTACCCGCCGCGGCCGGACGCCGGGCCGCAGCACGCCGCCATGTACAACAACCACGCCATGTACGCCGGCCAGTACGGCCGGCCCATGGCCGGGCAGCCGCCGCCCGGACACTACCCGTACCAGGGACAGTACGGTCAGCAGGTGAGGCTGGAGCTACCCGGCCGGCGCGCTAGGCGGGCGCGCGGCAAAGCCGCGCTGAAGCACCGCGAATCTGTTCCGGCCATACGGCCGAAGGACGGCGGGCCTTGGACCCGCGGCAAGCCTTGTTTCCTTCTACGCTAAATATAGCGCGGTGATATATGGCGTTCAGGATCGTGGCAATTCATATGTCGTAAATCAATGTGACTACTGCTGTTGTTATCGCTTGTGACGATGCTTACATGACGGCGGTAGACGCTGGCGCCATGCGAAAGGATTGCATCGAGGTGGAGCCGTCTGACCAGGGTGCTGGGGCGGCGCGTCGGGCCTGTTGATGCCGCGTACCGTCGCGCTGACGCGTCTGCCCTGTGTCCGGACAGCACTGGGCGACGGGCGGCCACCCGCAGCCGGGCGGCCCGGTACCGGCCGGCGCGCCCGGCGCCAAGCCGCTGCACATGGGCGGCCCCATGGCGGCGGGCGCCACGGCGCCGCGGCCGCCGCACTACCTTCGCCACCACCTGCAGCAGAAGATGCAGTACGGCGCGAACGGACCGAGCGGCGTGCCGGCGCCGGCCGCCAGCCAGCCGTCGTCGATGCCGCCGCCAGCGTCGATGCCGAGCGCCGCGCCGCCGCGGCCGGCCTCACAGAACAGCGATGGCTCTCAGCACTCGCAGTCGGCCGGCGCCGCCGAGCTGGCTGCCTTCAACAGCCACGGCCCGCTGCCGCCGATCGGGCCCGACGGCGTGCCCATCGACGACGCCTCCCAGCACAGCACGCTCTCCAACACGTCGGCCAGTGAGTGCGGCGGCAGCGGCGGCGCGCGCGCTCAGGTGTGGGCGGCGCTGTGGCGGGACGGTGGAGGCCGCGCGGAGCGGAGCGGGTGTATTGATGCGTACAGGCAGCAACGCTTAGAGCACAACGTCGAAGTGGTCGTGTCACCTTGTGGCGGGCTATACGGGCTCGATCGCAATTCGACGCCAGCTGTCCAACAAATGCCAAAGTGGTGATGCGCGGCCATCCGGCGAAAGTCTTTGCAGCGCCTTATGCCACCCTGAGTAATAAACGCTTGGGGCCGTCACGTGCATGATCGCGCGTTACGCCCATCGTCACGTCATGCATCACGTCCGTCGTCACGTATGTCAGTATTCAACACATGGCCGCTGTCAACCATGCCCATGTGGATTTACATTTGTGGCGCTTTCCTCTGGCGCCTTGTGTGCCGCCGGCTCGCTCGGTACGGCCGGGCGTTGCCGTCCCAGCGTTGGTCTGTGCGTGACGTCGGTCGCGCCGCCCGGCAGACTCGGAGGAGCGGGCTCGCTCGCCGAAGCCGCGCAAGGACAACTCGAACAGCCACCCGCCGACGCCCATCTCGGGCATGGCGTCTCCGGGCGCCGCCAGCCTCACCTCCGCGCACGACGACGCCGAGAACAGCATGCCCAGCCCGGGCCCGGCCTGGCCGCGCTCGCCCGTCTCGGTGAGCGTCGGCCGGTGGGCGGTGCCCTCCGCCGGCCGGAGGAGCGGCGACGGCAGTCCATGACGCGTATCGGCGCCGAGCAGCGCGGGCGGGGCGGGCTGGCAGGCCCCCCCCCCCTCACCGTCCCCGACCGGGTACTGTCACATGACCGTCTCGCGGTGCCTCTCTCGGGGGAACTAGGCTCTGTGCGGCTCCGCGGACTATTCGCGTATCCTGGTGGGCGGGGTGATAACTCCCAGGGCCTGCATCGCAGCCTGCTGTGAACTAGGAGGATCTGTTTTGATAGAGGGGAGGGGGGCGCAGAGTCAGCGCCAACCCGGCGTCCTGCGCGTGTTGAGTCCGAACGTTGTCTGCCGGTACACGGGATGGGCTCGGAGGGAGTGGGAGCGCTCGCCTGTGAGTGCCAGGCGCTGCGACGGGCACCGGTCGCCCTCCGCACCGGCGCGCGCCTGTCGCTTGCCCCCGCGCGCGGGTGGGCCGTCCCATCTCGACAGACTGCTGTGCTGACTGTGTGACGTTCTCTTCTGCAGGTCTATAATCCAATGCCTTCGAGAGATGCCTACCCGGTGTCGAAGGTCCATACTCTTTGATTCTTTGCCTGTTTGTCTGTCGCGCACCGGCCGCCGACAGAGGCTCGCGCCTCTGCTGCGCGCCTCGCACCGCTTCCAGGGCCTGTGTTTGGGCGAGGCCTGCACGCTGCTGACTGTTGCTACACCTCCTCTGTTCTGTTCTGGATGTTGGACTGCGGGAGGGTGGTAGCCTGTTGGTGGCCTGCACTTTGACGGTAGTCATTTGGTGTCCTCTTTCCGTGGGGTGGCGCGCTGTGCAATGATGTGGTGGTCTCTGCGTGGGGATGGGGTGAGAGGAGGAGGAGGAAGGTGGGGGAGTCTGCACAGCTTTGTTGTTTTGTGTTGGCTGCGGGATCCTGTACAGTCGCTCGGTCCACCCTCCGCGCTGTCGCGCACCGCAGCTGTTGCGTTAGCGGGAGGCTGTTGGCTTCTGTCGACCGCCGGCGGCGTTTTGCTTCGGCCGTAGAGGACGGCCTCGGCGGGAGCTCCGGGGAAGCCTGGGGCTCCCGCCGACTGTCGCCCTGCGCTTTCGTGTACGCCTGGCTGGTCAGGATCACGGCGTGCGTCCAACAGGCCGCCAAGTTTTGTTTGTTTTACTATGCTTGGATGACGCCGTCGTGCCGACAAAAGCTTTGCGCTGTTTTTTATGTCACAAATGTCCCGAAGGTGCCATTCTCTTCCTTCTTTTAGCTTTCATCTGCAGTATTTGCCTTCATTTCGTGATATTTTACGCGGGGATATTTCAAGGTCGTTCAATTTTACAGGTTAGTGCATTGGTGTAGCTGCTCTTACACGATGCCAGTGATACGTCTTGATTTGCGGTAACCGCAGAGGCCATCAGTGGTTAGGATGAGTGAAATTTCCTTGCTACACTGTTCACAGATTCTCCATATGCAATGAGGAAGCATATCCTTCATCCCTATCCCATGCGACGATGCATTCACCTGGGCTATGCACTTGGTATCTTGCACAGTGTGATTTATCTATGTACGTCTATTTTCCGCATCGTGTGCTGCAATTGGCCATATGCAGAGCTTAAATAGACGAGCTGCTCGTCAAGGGAATATACGTTGCCGTGGTCGGGTTGTGGCTTACGATGCAATGCTCGCTGGCAGTCGCGGCGGCGGCGTCCAGTTTTGTGTTTGCAGTTTAACAAGTCGGAACTGACGCCGTCCGTTCGAGCTTTGATCGGTGTTTAGATAAACGCCGTTGCGCTGGGGGACTCACTGGCAGAGGTTTGTGCGGTCTGGTTGTCCTGTTCCAACCCTACCCCATCCGCTTCCCCATTGGGATGTCCTCGTCTTCGCTTCCGCCCACCCCATCCCATCCTATCGCTCCCGGTCCCTTGTCCTTCATCCCTCGTCTCTCGTCTCGTCCCTCTTTCCTCGTCCCTCATTCCTCGTCCCTCATTTCTCGTCCGTCGTCCCTCGTCCCCCGTCCCCCGTCCCCCGTCCCCCGTCCCCCGTCCCCCTTTCCTCGTCCCTCGTCCCTCGTCCTTCGTCCCTCATGCCATGCCATCCCGTCCCGCCCCGCCCCGCCCCGCCCCGCCCCGCCCCGCCCCGCCCCGTCCCGCCCCGTCCCGTCCCGTCCCGTCCCGTCCCGTCTTGTCTCCGCTCTGCTTTGTTCTGTTATCCCGTCCCATGCCAGTCCATCCTGTTTTCACTTCCGACGACAGCTTCTTCCCCACCCACCCGACAATGACCCTTGGCCGGCGCCCAGCCTCGTACCTCGACACCGAATTTGACACGGACCAGGACGCCGTCTTGTGACCCGGTGCGGGCGGGGGCGGGTGACTAACCCGCGTGCCCGGCGGCCGTCGGCAGAAGGCGGAGAGTCTCAACCGTCTGTTCGAGATCGACGAGGCGCCGGGCCGGCGCGAGTGGGTGAGCCGCCTGCTGGCTTTCATGGAGGAGCGAGGCTCGCCCATCGTGCAGTGTCCGACCGTCTCCAAGCAGCCGCTGGACCTCTTCAAGCTGTACCAGCTCACCAAGGAGCGCGGTGGCTTCGTCGAGGTCAGTGTGGCCGGCTGGTCGGGTCTGGAGGGCTGCCGAAGCTTTGCTCAGGTGGTCGGCGCACCGTGGACAGGGTGCAGCAGCTACGTACGAGTACTGTTGTCCGGGGTGGGCGCCAAAAATCGCTCCGGCGGTCGACTGCACCCATCGCCACTCTTCAAACTACGTAATGAATCGCTCAGCCGACTGATTAAACACCTGTAATGAACTGCGTCGGCCCTCTGGCCGGGTCTGAACGGTGGGGGCCGCCACTGTCGCGGTGTCGTGTGCTTGTGCGGCGGCGACCGCTGCTGAGACGTCCTCTGTCCCGCAGGTGACGAAGAACAAGACGTGGAAGGAGATCGCGGTGCTAATGGGCATCGGCGGCTCGTCCAGCGGCGCCTACACGCTGCGGAAGCACTACATGAAGAACCTCATCTTCTTCGAGTGCCACTTCGACCGCGGCGGCCTGGATCCGGCGCCCATCCTGGCCAAATACGAAACCAAGAGCAGCAAGAAGACCAAGGGTGCCGCTTCGCCCGGTGAGATGCGGCGCGCCGGCCGCCGGGCCCGCCGGCCGGCGCCAGTCCGCCTGCTGACTCATGTCGGGCGGCGAGCGGCCGCCCGTGTCGCGCGTTACGTCGGCCGTCACGCCGGCCGGTGACGGTGCTGCAGAGGTCACAGTGGCGCGTGTCGCAGCGTGAGTGGCGCGCATCGCCCGGTGACGGCCGTGCTGGTGGAGAGACGCCCGGCAGCTGTTCGGCGACGATGCTCCAGAGGTCAGAGTGGCGCGTGTCGCAGCGTGAGTGCCGCGCATCGCCCGGTGACGGTGTTGGTGGAGAGGCGCCCGGCAGCTGTCCGGCGACGATGCTCCAGAGGTCAGAGTGTCGCGTGTCGCGGCGTGAGTGCCGCGGATCGCCCGGTGACGGTGTTCGTGGAGAGGCGCCCGGCAGCCGGCCGGATGCTGCTCAGAGCGGCGTTGACCCCGCGTGCTGACCGTCGTCTGGCGTCCGGCAGGGCCGCAGGACTCGTTCTCCAACTCGGGCTCGATGGACGGCTTTCCGAGCGGCTACCCGGGCTACCCCGGCGGCGACTACAGCAACGGCCCGAGCCAGCCGCCGCCTCAGGGTGAGAACTGCTCCCGACTGCGGCGCGAACGCGGGTGACGCGCGCCGGCCTCCTCTGCGGCGCGGGCGTGTGAAAAGCGGGCGCGCCGTCCGATCAGCCGACGCCAGCCAGCGCCGTGTTGGTGGGCAGGCTGTCGCAGAGTTGGGGGGGGGGGGGGGGGGGGGGGAGGGGCGCGGCCGCGGGCTGAAGGTTCCCATGGCAAAGTGTCCGAGATGCGCTCCCCGCGGCAGGTATGACGACTGAACTGAATTCGGCGTTTGGAGGTCCCATTACCTCCTGGGAATGTTCCGAAAGGACTTCGTAGACTGTACATAAGCAGGCTTTCTCGTCCCTTGGCGTGCTGAACTTAAAGAAAAACTTCCAGTGCCCGATTGCCCGCGGCCGCGGGCTGAAGGTTCCCATGGCAAAGTGTCCGAGATGCGCTCCCCGCGGCAGGTATGACGACTGAACTGAATTCGGCGTTTGGAGGTCCCATTACCTCCTGGGAATGTTCCGAAAGGACTTCGTAGACTGTACATAAGCAGGCTTTCTCGTCCCTTGGCGTGCTGAACTTAAAGAAAAACTTCCAGTGCCCGATTGCCTCTCAGAAGCAGAAGCTGCTCCTGATTGGTTTCCCGCGGTCCCACTGTTTGCCTGTCCCCGACCAGTTCACTTCCGTGTGGTGATGACCAGCCACTAATACGGCTCCCTCTGGACCGTTAGGTGTAAACGACAGAGTCAATGTATCGAATCCGTTCGAGGATATCCACTACGATAGCGTGTACGGTGGCTACGCGCCCAGCTACAGCAACAGTAAGCATTGGCCGGCTGCTGCGGTGTTCATTGACGTCGCATGGTTATAGTTGCGGTTCGGCCACAGTGCCTCAGCCTCGACCTGTACTTACTGACCCCGCCCTGCTTTGCTCTGTCCGACCCGACCCGGCCCGACCCGTCTAGACATGACTCGACCTTACTCAACCCGACCTGACCTGATCTGACCTGACCCGACTTGACCTTGCCTGGCCCGGCCCGACTCCACCCGACCCCACCCGACCCCACCCGACCCCATCCCGATCTGACCCCACCTGACCTCGGTAGTACCTTCCCCTGCGATGCGGTGCCGCTGTACCGGCTGTGTCCCGTCCCTGCCCTGCAGGTGCTGTCCGCTCGCGCCGCAACTGACCGCCCCCTGCGTCTCCCCCTTCTGGTGTGTCGTCCCCGACTGAGCCCGCCCCGTCAGTGGATGTGCCGCTGCCCAGTGCGGGTCGGACGCGGCCGGGGCCGGTTGCCGCGCCGGCCGCCCACCCGTGTGCGGCGATGCGCGGCTAGAGCAGATCTCTGCATGGTGGCTCCTAGTCAGTCGGACCTAGCTTCCAGATGTACTAAACAACCCGCTTTGGCTCGTACTGTGTTCTGTGTGTTTCTGGACGGTTGCTCGGCATCGTGACTGTACTGTGAGTTTGGTGTGATCTCGTGGTGATTGTTCGGCGGACGTGACGTCCGGGGCTGCTCCGGCAGTGACTGCCACTCCTCTCTCATGCTGGCCACCCAGCAGTCGATGCGCTCGTCAGTCCGGACAGCCAACTTGTGGCGTCGGACGTCACACTCGCCTCGATGGCCTGAGGCGGCTGGGGCGCTTCTCATCGAGCTGCCCATCCACGTGTATACCGGCCACGTGTGGTGCACCCGCCGGTGTCGCGCGCCGGCGGTGGCTGGGTGCTGACGCGGCGCGTTCTGCGTTGCAGGCTACCCCGGCCACGGCTACCCGCCGCAACCGGGCTACGGCCACTACCCGCCGGGCCAGCCGCCGAGCGGAGCTCCAGGTCAGGAATACCCACCCCCGCCGCCGCCACCGCCACCCCCGCCGCACCAGCAGCAGCCGCCGCACCAGCAGCCGCAGCCGCCCTACATGCAGCAGTACCCCAACAGGTGAGCAGCGGCGGAGCCGTGTCGGCCGCGGCCGCCCCGGCAGCCGGGGGACTGCCGTCGGGCGCGGCCGGACGCGCCGGCTTGTGAATAGTCCTGATTGGCGGCTGGCACCGCGGCTGTCGCGGTCAGAGCCTGGCCGTAATTCTGTGGCGGGTATTGGGTATTCAAGGCGCACCGCCTGTGGCGGTCCTGGCCGGATGTGTGCTGTCTGATCTGACCGCGGCCTGCGGCGCCTCCCCCTCCCCATCGAGGTGACCCCGGACTGAGGCGTCTGCCGCCGCCGACAGGGGCTACCCGGTGCAGCCGACGACGGCGGGCCAGCTGCCGGGCGGTGAGTATCACCGGTACACGGGGCCGCCACCGGGCCCGGCCACGTACGGGCCGCGGCACGCGTACCCGGGCCACCAACCGCCGCCGCCGCAGCCGGCCGCGCCGCAGCAGCCGCCACCGCCACCGCCGGCGGTGCCGGCCGGCGCGGCGCCGCCGGCCTCCTCCGGCAGCCCGGCGGCCACGCCGCCGCCCGTTTACAGCGGCAGCGCACCGGCGGGGCCGGCGGCCGCGCCGCCCGGCCCCGGCGCCGAGCAGTACCCAGTCAGCAGCGCCGCCCAATACCCGGTACGTGCCGCCGCTTCCCTCCTCCCCGCCGTGCTGTGTGTGTGCCGCGCCGCTCCCTCGCGTAGACTACCGCATGGTTGTGTTTGGTTTTGCGCCCGTATTAATCCGGTAGCTTCTGCTTTCGCCTCCTGCGCTGTTGGTCTGCTGGATTCGGTTGTGTGGCTGTCGTGTTACGCATCGGTGTGGTATTTTGTTTTCTAGTCGTTGTTTTGCCCCTCTGTAGATGTCGCCTGGCGTTAACTTCAGCTCCCAGCTAGCCAAGCAGCTTTCCGCACCCCTGACCGCTCGCAGCAGCCCCGTGCAAGTACGTACTCACTGTGCCTTCTTTGTGGGTCGTGCTTGTGGCTATCGCTTGTGGGTTTGATGTTCGCCGCTGTCCGTTGCTGCCTCCGCCTGCTGACCCGTTCGGTTTTGGTTCGGCCCGTTTCAACCGTTCTGTTGCGCTTTGGCTGTTGACGGCGCCGGCCCGCGGCGGCGCCGTTGTTATTGGGCGGGCCGTGTGTTTATAGATGACGCCGTCGAAAGGCGGCTACATGCCGGCGCCCACCCTCGCCAAGCAGCTGGCGGCTCCGGCCATGGTGCCGCCCTCGTCACCCATGAACCACAGTCGCCTCGGCATTGTGAGTAGCGGCCGAACGTCTTCTGCGGCGTGAACGAGTGGCGCGCCGCGCTGATTGCCAGGGGGAGAGAAGGGGGGGGGGGGGGCGGCACATCCGTCGGGTAAGAGTCACGTCGCCACGTGGATCTCACTTCCCGACTTCCCGACCGGTGAAAAAGTTGCCTAGCTGGGATGTATCGAAGCTAATGGTGCGATGACAGTCGCCGGGCCGAACAGTACCACTGCGCCCTCGACGCCCCCCATAGCGCCGAACTGCCGGCCGCCCTCGCCTGCGGCGTAGCGTCACCGTCACCGCGCGCCGGCCGACCGGCCACGAGCCGCCCGCTGACGCCCGCTCCGCCGGCAGCCGTACGGACCGTCGCAGCACGGCGCTGCGCCGGGCATGGCGGCAGCCTACCGGGCCGGCGCACCTCCCAGCCTGGCCGGCGCCGCGCCGCCAGGACCGCGCCGGCCGGACGGCGCGGGGCCCGCCGCCGCCGCCGCCGCCCCCGGCTGCCGCCGGCGCGGGCCCACCGCCGCCGCCGCCGCCACCACCCGGCGCGCCGCCCTACAGTCAACAGCAGCAGCAATACGGTACGGGGGGCGGGCACCGGACGGGTGTGGTAGTCCGGGCGCCGGGCACCGGGCGCTGTCGGGAGGGTCTCGACCACGTGCCGAAAGTGCCGCAGGAAGCGGGGATGTGGGTCGCGAGATGCATCCAAAACACCTCTAAGGATGTCAGAATCACACGTTTTCTTGACGCCCGAATGGGATGCATTACATTGCATGCCACGATGAGGTCCCAAATGCAGACATGACACCCCAATATGCCAGCCGAAAATTGCTGCTATCGTCCACCCCAATATTCCAAACCTGGGTGGCGAAGACAAGCACATATGAATACATATCCTTTTGGTTGATTGCTGACTTTGTGAGGACTGAGAGCCTGACGGTGGAATCCGCTGTGCCTTCGATATGATGGTGCAGACACTTCCTCATTAAGCCGAGTCTGTGTGGTGCGCGTGTGTACATCTGGTCTGTGTCACTTCTACCCAATCAGGCTGCCTTCTGCGGGTACCCTTCTTGTGTGGCCCGTATTCGCGATTTCAGTGTTTGCGATCTTGGAACGCCTGCTGTTTACCCAGTCCGTGTGTACCGTGGTGTAACACCACGCTTGTGTCTCTGGCCTTCCGTATTTGTCTTTCGTGTATGCCTGCTGTCGTTTCAGCATTTGTGGCTTCTTTTTCGTCTGAGCATTCGCCTGCTAATTAAACCGTCTTTGTGTTAGCTTCGCGATGGCTGAGCTCGGAACGTGAGGCGTGAATGCATGTAAACGCGATGAGAGAATGTGAAATCACCTGCAGTGGTGGTTCCACCTCACTCGGTTGTTGCCTGCTGTTACCCGCGCACGTGCCTGCCGTACGAACGCTCCGTGTCCGGTGTGTCCGGCCGCTGACCTGACCTAACCTGACCCGGTGGTGTGTGGCGGCAGGCTGGCGCGGCTCGGGCTCGTACAGTCAGTACCAGGGCGGCGGCCAGTGGGGCCAGCGGTACCCGGCACCGCCGGCGCCCGGTCCGGCCGGGCCCGGCTACCCGCCGGCCGGTGCGGCACAGTGGAACGGCAGCGCCGCCGCCGCCGCTGCCGCCGCCGCCGCCGCCGCCGCGGCGCCCCGCCTCCCCATGCGGCCGCCCTACGGCAAGGACAGCAAGCCTTATACGGCTATGAAGGTGGGCGGTGGGGGCGGGCCTCCGGCGGCTCATAGCCGGCTGATCTTGTGCTGTGAACTTGTACGTCATGTGATGTTGAACAGTCGCCTGCTCGTTGCCGTGGTGACCGCGGCATCGGCCACGTATCGCTAGTTTTACCCTGACAACGGACTGCGACACATTGCCCAGTGCCGTTGACCGTGACACATTGCACAGCACCGCATGCTGATTCATTGTTCAGCACCGCTGACCGCGACACTTTGTGCAGCGCCGCTGACCGCAACACATTGCCCGGCACCGCATGCTGATTCATTGTCAAGCAGCGCTGACCGTGGCACATTGCCCAGCACCGCTGACCGTGACACATTGCGCAGCACCGCTGATCATGACACACTGTCCAGCGCCGCTGACCCTGTCACGTTGCCCAGCACCGCTGACCGCGACACATTGCCCAGCACCGCTGATCGTGACACACTGTCCAGCACCGCTGACCGCGACACATTGTCCAGCACCGCTGACGGGCGTGTTCCGTTGCAGCCTGGACTGCCGCTGGCCGGCCAGGGCTACTCGAAACACAGTTTCCCGCCGGACAGCGTGGAGGCGACTCCGCCGGTGCTGGCCAAGCGGCGCCGCGCGCTGCGCTCGGATGTGTGTCCTTTGGACGGCTGGCGGCTGGCCATGGCGCTGCGCTCGGGCCAGCTGGCCGAGAGCCGCTGGGCGCTGGACGTGCTACAGATCCTGACGTTCGACGACACGTCGGTGGTGTGGTGCGGCCTGGCGCACATGCCCGGCCTGCTGGCGGCGCTGCTGCACCATTTCCGCCAGACGCTGTCCGCCATGTTCGCGCGCCGCGCCGCGGCCGCCTCCGTCGCCTGGTACGAGGGCTGCGAGGCGACCGGCGCCGGCGCGCCGCCCGACGCCGAGCCGGACCTGGGCGCCTGCCGGCCGGCCGACGCCCAGCCGGAGGAGCGGCACGCGCTGCTCACCGGCGCCGGCTACACGCGCACGACGCGCCGTGGCCAGCCGGTGATGCTGGACGAGTGCGACGACGCCATCCTGGTGTCGGACCGCGTCAAGGCCTGGGAGGTGGACGCGCTGAACGCCGACTGCGCCTGGAGCCACGTCGAGACGCACGTCAAAGTGGAGACGGGCCGCATCCCGTTCGTGCGCCGGCTGCGTGACGGCAAGGTGGCGACGAGTGCGGACGCGGACGAGGTCAAGGCCAAAGCCGAGCCGGGCGGCGAAGCCGAGCCGACACAGACCAACGGCGAGGTGATACGGGGCTTCTCGGCGCTGGACTTCTTCCTCGCCCGGCTGCGCAAGGACGCCAGGGCGGCGAGAGAGGACACAACCGACTGTGATGCGAGTGCGAAAGGGGACGTTGCGGGGAAGGGGGGCGTGACGTGCGCGGTGAAGCCGGAGCCGGCCGAGGCGGCGGCCTCGCCCCCGCCCCCGCTGGTCAACGGCGACGCCTCGCCCGAGGCGCGCGACGAGAAGCCGGCGGCGCGCCTGCTCATCCGCGACCCGGCCGGAACGCTGAAGCGGCGGCGGCCCGACGAGGAGGCCGAGTGCTACCAGCGCGACGAGTCGAGCCTGTACCTGACGTCCGTCACGCAGGAGAACATTGCGCACCGCTGCGTGGCCATCAGCACAATCCTGCGCAACCTCTCGTTTGTGCCGGGCAACGAGTCGGAGCTGATCGGCGAGCCGCTGCTCTCGCTGCTCGGCGACCTCGTGCAGCTGCACCACCGCCACCCGGCGCGCGCCGCCAAGCACAAAAACTACGACCGCGACGAGGACGCCGACTTCCAGGGCGCGTGCACGGCGCTCAACAGCGACGAGTGGTGGGCCGAGTACCTGCCCGTGCTGCACGAGAACGCGCTGGTCACGCTGACCAACATCAGCGGCCAGCTGCAGCTGAGCGGCTACGACGAACCGGTGGTGCGACCGCTGCTCTCCGGCCTGCTGCACTGGCTCCAATGCCCCGCCTCGTACGCCAACGACCCGTTCTCGTCGTGCGGCGGCTCGCCGTCGCTGCTGGTCTCGCCGCAGCGGCTGGCGCTCGAGGCGCTCTGCCGGCTCTGCATCAGCCCCGACAACGTCGACCTGATGCTGGCCACGCCGCCGTTCGCGCGGCTCGAGCGCATCTGCGAGCTGCTGGCCCAGTGGGTGGGCCGTGCCGAGGACCAGGTCAAGCGCGAGATGACGCTCAACCTGCTGTACTATTTCACGGCCGCCGACGAGCGCGTGGCGCGACTCGTGGCCATGCAGAACAACTTTGTGCCGACGCTGGTGCGCTTCGTGGAGACGGCAGAGCACAACGCCATGAACGTGGCGAGTACGCAGGGCGTGAATGCGCTGCGTGACAATCCGGACCTGATGGGCACCAGCCTGGACATGCTGGGCCGCGCTGCCAACATCCTGCTCAGCTTGGCGCGCGTGCCCGACAACCGGGCCGTGCTGCTGGCGCGCGAGCAGCAGCTGCTGGCGCTGGTGATGTCGCAGATCCTCGACCAGCGCGTGGCGTCCGTGCTCTCGCAAGTACTGTTCAAAATATCGCGGCCCGAAGCCACCGACGGTGACTCGTAGCACGTGCTGGACGCGGCTGGCTCGCTATGTGATGTGTGAATGCGCTCGTGCCCGTGCGTGGATGTCTGTTTTGTAAATACGCGACTGGATAGTTGCTATTTTAACTGTACAGAGGCGGCAATCTGTAAAAGTCGGGCGGCCAGCGGGCCACGGCTATCGTAATTCATTTATACAGTTCGTTATAACCATCATTTACATGTCCAGAGATCGGTTCGTGAATGTATGCTGTCGGTTTCATGAATAAATGTATATCAGTTTATTAGAAACTATTTGCGCTCCACGCTGAAAGTCGTCACCACTTGCATCAGTTTTTAACGTCCGCAGGTTATCTTGAAGTCGGGCTTTGAGCCGCGGCGTGAAGGGGAGGGGAGTCGTCAGGCATGCCGCTCGCGAAATGATCGCGAATAACTCACGGACGTGTGAACTCCGTGTACCGGTGTAAGCGAATGACATACGCGTGGTAAGGTCTTGTGTTGGTGGCCCGTACTGACAGGGCTGCTACGAATTCGGTGAAAGTAGTGCGCAGTATCCCGAAACAGTCGCTGATCTGTTCGGCTGGTACCGCGCGTTGTCACATCACATGGGGCACAGCACACAATAACGCACAGTGCGTTCGTGCGTGCTGTTCTGCTTAACAGCTGGCTGTCATCTGGGCGGTGATGCCTCTGACGGGCACGGAACTTCTTCGCGTTATGTCGAACTGCGGAACTCCATCCGTCCGCTTCAGCCATGGGAAGAAGGGCGTGACGACGTGAGGGCGTAATGTGTGTGATGTGACGAAGGGGACGTGATGGAGGGAGTTGCGTTCTCGTCATAGGTCGCCGCGAGACGTCACTGTAGCGGAGAGGCCGGGTTCCAAAGGCTCCCGAATACCCAGGAATGCTGGGGAACGGTTGGGTCGGATGCGGTCAGCAGTTTTCGGACGCTGTGTGTGTGTGGCCTGTCATCGGTCCTCCATGCGATGAGGGCACTGGGGCCGGGGCTCTGCCTTCGGGAGGAAATGTACGACTGTACAGGTTTCATTGAAGTTTGTATCTGTAAGCCGTATCCAGCACGTGAGCTTACGAGTATCGGGATATGCGTTGTGCCAGGATGGGGAACTGGGCTGTCCAGGATTGGGGAGCTGAGGGCACCGGGTCTTCCATTTCCGTGCACCGCCGTAAGCTTCGTGCAGTTATCTCGTGTTGGAGGCGGTGGGCTAGAATCCTTAAAGCCCTCCCATTACGCGATTGTTTCCGCGTCTGCGCCGTAACATGTAAGACAGGTTTACCCAGCGACGCAGCGATTGGATTTTCCGTGCTTGCCGCACAACACCAGGGATGTTACAGTGCGTCTACCGCCCGCCACCGATCCAGGGCACCTCGAGATCCGCGAGCAGCTGGTTTTCAACCGTACCGCTCTTGTATCGCCAAAACCCAAGTTAGGGCATACTAACATCTATCTGAAGTCCGTGACCGCCCGTATATATGACCTTGATCCGATGATCATGATATGACCGAATCAATCGCCTTCCGCTGAGCTTGCCATTTGGTCGGCTCCCACGGGCCGCACACCACCGACAGAATCGGCCAACAGGTGGCAGGAGCTGCACGCTGCCCCTGCGGTCGCCCGCTGCCGCTCCGCACTGCACTGGCTGCGCGCGCCGTGCGGGGAGGCCCATACGCCCCCAGTCGTCTCGTGCGGGAGGTCGGGAGAAGTCAGTGGGCAGAAGGCGGCGCGCGGGGTTGGAGATAGGCGAATCCACGTGCAGGCGGAGATATGGCGGCGGTCGCGGCACGCTTATTTCAGAACTGGCGTGCATCCTCGGCACCAGTGCTGCTGACCCACGCAAGGAATGCATCAGTACTTTGCCATAAACTTGAATTTAAAGACTACGGCAACCCATTGGAAGTTATCTCCAAGGTCGAGGAAGAAGTCAGCGATGATCTCGAACCCAAACAGGTATGAATTTGCTGAAGGTTGGACTGTCGGGCTGCTGTAGGTTGTAGCTGCGGTCATAGTTTACTGGAACAGGGACCTTTTAGGTGCCTAGATATCTTATTGCTGGTACCTATCTTTGTGCAATTTTTGGAGGGAGAACACTCACTTATCAAGGTACAGGACATGTGCTTGCAGCCTGAAAAAGATCCCAGGATCCCACTCACACAAGAACCCTACGTGATCCGGGACCTGGGATTTGTATCTGGGCACATCTGTGTGGTACCTGAGCAGATAATATTCACTTCAACAGGCTATTTTGTAATGCACTTCAGTGCTTGGTGTAATATCATGTATAACATGCTTTAATCTTGGCAGGAGGGTACACAACATGACTGGATAGATAAGTGACCTGCAGTTCAAGCAGCAATGCCAGTTCCTGATGCTGGAAGTAAAAAAAATAACATTGCCTTATGATTTTGTGTGATGGAAAGGGTCCAAAACTAGATGACAAATATGAGAAGTACCAGGAAACCCCTGTTGGTGGTGAAGTAAGGTATTTTGAAAGCAAATAAAGGTTTACTTTGTAATACAATTACCTTGCCAAGTTTCTGGTGCAGATGTTCTTATACATGCATCAACTTTGAGTGCATACCTAATTTTGATAGGGTAGCTGACAGGGAGCAGGAAAGCAAAGGACTCTGAGTAGGCAACAGGGGTGTATCTTCTCGCAACTGGTAGGGAGTAGCTGACCAGGGAAAGAATGGATATGCCTATGCTCAAGATGCTCAACAACATGTGTTTTGCCCTGGATTTTACCCATTTTCTCCTGTGAGATGTGAGGTGGCTGCCCCCCCCCCCCACCCCCTTACTGAATAGGAAACTGCACTAGTGGCTTGTGGGCATGGTGGCAGTCCTTGATGTTGTGAACTGGTGACTGACTGTTAAGTAGTGTGCATTTTTAACTGTATAGTACCCAAAAACAAACTGAAGCCAGCAAGGGGACCATGCTAGCTGGCAATGTGGGTCCCATCAATCTGTGGTTGCATCTACTGAGGTGGGGGAACAGACATATTTTTGGGGATTTCATTAAAGCTCATTGAGATCTCATCACTTCAGTGTTTAAATTTCTGTCAGGAGCCATCTGTCGTGCTAAAAGGGCAGGCTTAGGTAGACGACCATAGTCACCAGGCTGCTCTTGGCTGTTCCTCTGCAGAGTGCACCAAATAAAAAAGATTTGTGGTCTGAGGGGATTCAACTTGCATTTGCCCCACAACAATGTGTTAACACCAGATCAACACAGTGTTTTGAGGGTTCATCACATGCTTCCCTATTTTTTTAAAGATGTGACCAAGAACTGTTGAAGAGCTTCCTGGAGATGAGCCATTCTGCCCTCCAAATCACAGTCACTCCAATTCTGTTCAAAGCACCAGCTGACTCATCAGTGTCAGTTGATGCAATTTCCAGTACTTTGCAGGTTATCTAGCCTGGAAGATTCCCCACTGGTTTGAAGAATCCAGCTGCAGAACTGATGCACCTGCTGCATTCTACTATTTTGCCCTACTTTAGACCCTGCAGGCTCACCTGTCTGCAGGGCCTGGTGAAATTGCATCAGCTGGTGTGTGTGTGACAACACATCCTGCAGGTTCTGGCGAAGCTGACGTCAGTCAGGGCATGCTCTTTGTTCTGCTGACTGTCCTGCCAGTGTGCTTTCCTTTCACTAACTGCACAACATCCCATCTATCTGATGAGAATGTCATCAGCTGGTTTTCATCTTCACTGACATCGCCCAGAGTCACAGATGTCGTTGACGGTGTTGTAATTCCACGCGTCATCTCATCCGCATCACGCATGATGCGTTCTCGCAGGTGCTGGTGAAGATGCTGGCCGCTCCGCTGAACCCGGCCGACATCAACACGGTGCAGGGCACGTACGCGGTCAAACCTGACTCGTTCCCGGCCGTTCTGGGCAACGAGGGCCTCGGCGAGGTGGTGGCCTGCGGCAGCAAGGTCACCCAGATGGAGCCCGGCGACTGGGTCATCCCCTTCCTCAACGAGTTCGGCACATGCCGCAGCCACGCTGTCGCCGCCGAGGAGGACGTCGTTAAGGTGGGTCCGGCGCGCGCTTGCCAGCGGGTGACAGGTGAAGGGTGAAGGCCGGGCCGGGCGCTCTTCCGCTTCCGGCTTACCAATGTCTGACAGGCGGTTCACTACCCCGGGTGTGGCGCCCGTCGCGTGGTTTGGGTACAGAACGAGTGGGTATCGCCCCATCGGCCATAACCGCGACACTGAGCTAGAAACCTGGCAAAAACGACCGATTTCACCGGACACTGACGGATGGCGGCGTGGGTAAGTGGTGTACTCGGATATTCGGCGGTTCGCCCGATCGACTTAGGTTACTCACCATGACAACAGACTGTCGATGGCTGGCGCACGTGGCTAGTGGACCGAGGTTTTGCGGGGGGTCACACCTTTTTTACACCAGACTGATACAAAGATTTGTGCCCCTGGTTTTTGCTGAATGTGTGGTTTAGAGGGACGGACGTGACTAGGACTGCTTTTCAGGGCGCGGACAAGTGTGACCCAGTAAAGGTCGGCTGATTTTAATGACTACACTTAGGCTCGTATTCCTGCCATGCAGAACAGGTAGGCGTGCTCACTGCTGCCTGAAGTTATCAAATCGAATTGGACATATTTATATGATGCATTTTATCGTCGTCATGTACTCCAACAGGTCGAACCGTCGCACTCTAAAAAGCATTGTTGATGTTGACCAACATTGTTTTTCTTGTCTTGCAAAAGAAGGTACTGGTACCAAGAACAGTTTCACAGAACGTTATGGGGGAGGGAGGGGAAGGGCTGGGCGGTGAAAAGTGACGAAAGTAGCCATGATAAGGCGCCAACAAACGGATTTCCCTTGGACTCAGCCCACTTTTTCACAAGGTTTGGGAGGTGGGGACTGGAGCCCAAGTTGGGGACGGGAGCCCCTCCCCCTCCCAACCGAATAGGAAACTACACCTCTGACTAGTAGCCTGCGCAGCATTCAAGTCGAAGGCTAGGGTTTCCCGCCTTCGAGGCGGCATTGGCTGTCTCGCCACGTGCGCTTGCATCACGCTGAATGGAATTTAGTTCGGAACCCGTCAGCTGGAAATTCGGGCTTACGGAACAGGACAATATCCGATTGCGAATGCCCCCAAAGCTTCGGTGACGGGAGTACATCTTTTGCAGCAATGCTATTTATGGTGAGAATGATTAAACTTCCTCCCTGTATGCGTACGAACAAGAGACGTCGTAGATTAACTTGCGGAACTGACGCTATTGTATGCCTGATGCATGCCTGGTACCTCGTCATAATCTAAAATATTTGTCCGTGGCGGTGTTCCGCTCTTAAACTGCAGTCATTCGCTTTTTGGAGCGCTGGAGCGAGCACCCCAGTAGTCCTGACCCCAGCACCCCAGTAGCCCCGACCCCAGCATCCCAGTAGCGCTAACTCCAGCACCATAGTAGTCCTGACCTCAGAACCCCAGTTGTCCTGACTCCAGCACACCAGTACCTTTGATCCCAGCGCCCCAGTAGCCCTGATCCCAGCACACTAGTAGCCCTGACCCTAGCGCCCCAGTAGTCCTGACCCCAGCACCCCAGTAGCCCTGACCCCAGCACCCAAGTAGCCCTTATCGCAGCACCCCAGTAGTCCTGACCCCAGCACCCAAGTAGCCCTGACACCAGCACCCCAGTAGTCCTGACCCCAGCACCCCAGCAACGCTGACCTCAGCACCCAGTAGCCATGACCCCAGCACCCCAGTAGTCCTGACGCCAGCACCCACGTAGCCCTGACCCCAGCACACCAATAGCCCTGACCCTAGCCCCCTAGGGAAGAAGTTCCAGCACAACAGACAGCTTTTATCGAAATATCTTGTCATGCGACCAAAGCTGGCTACGGCTCGGCGGTTTTTGGACTGACGGCTGTCCGACACGGGACCGGCGGGTAGCCGGCTAGCCGTTTTTGCAATGAGCTGATGCCTAATAACTAATGCATGGGCCTAGCATTTGTTTTACTTGTGACTGGGAAGTGGGAAAGGTCCTCCCCATCTATTTGAATAACATCACGCACTTAACGTTTGTGCCATGATATAAGGGCAAAGTTGATTTCCCCAGGTCTCGCTAAATTTCGCGAGGTCTGCCAGGCCCTTGGAAAGTGCGAAACGCAAGCCAGACTGTATAGAGACCAGAGGGTAACCTTCGCTGCCTTGTGAAATTAGTAAATCGTGGAAATTTTAAGGAACCGTGATAGCTATTCTCTCTGGGATAACCGTTAAGTCGCGACATTTTTCGGTTATTAAATTTTTTCCCGATCCAAAGACTTCAGTTGCATCTTTATTTTCCAGAAGGATAAGAGCTTACGGGTAATGACGCGTGATTGCTTGTGTCTGTTAAAAAAACCTAAGATACAACTAACGTATACATGTGACACCTGGTAGAATCAATAACCGTTGTCAGGAGGGAATTTAGACATTCCATATTCACCGTTCGAATTTGCGCCCATGCATTTTTCAACAGCATTCGAACCTGCCCACGGCCAGCTAGTTTGACACGAACGGCCTGACATGGACGGCTAGCCGGCGAGTCGAAAGCTGACCTCGGCATCCCATAACGTCATGGCACGGCTAGCCCGTGCCAGCCCGTGCCAGCCCGTGCCGGCCCGTGCCAGCCCGTGCCAGTCTGTGCCAGCCCGTGCCAGCCCGTGCCAGCCCGTGCCAGCCTGTGCCAGCCCGTGCCGACCCGTGCCCACCCGTGCCAGTCCGTGCCAGCCTGTGCCAGTCCGTGCCAGCCCGTGCCAGTCCGTGCCAGCCCGTGCCGGCCCGTGCCAGCCCGTGCCAGCCTGTGCCAGCCCGTGCCGACCCGTGCCGGCCCGTGCCGGCCCGTGCCAGCCCGTGCCAGCCCGTGCCAGCCCGTGCCAGCCTGTGCCAGCCCGTGCCGACCCGTGCCGACCCGTGCCGGCCCGTGCCAGTCCGTGCCAGCCCGTGCCAGTCCGTGCCAGTCCGTGCCAGCCCGCGCCAGGCCGTGCCAGCCTGTACCAGCCCGTGCCAGCCTGTGCCAGCCCGTGCCGACCCGTGCCGGCCCGTGCCGACCCGTGCCAGCCCGTGCCAGCCCATGCCAGCCCGTGCCAGTCCGTGCCGGCCCGTGCCAGCCCGTGCCACGCTAGTCCTTCTGGCCGTAGGCAATCGATCATCACTGGTGACTCACATCGGCACTGTTTCTGGGATTGGGCCGGCGTGTTTGCCATACGGACGTCGGAGCTCGGACGCCCTGCCAACAGCTGCGCTGCGATGACGCGTCCGTGTGGGACCTCCGCTACTTGTTGCGTGTGTTGCTTCTGTGTGGCGTTGAGGCTTTAGGACACTCTCAGCTGCTGAGGCTGGAAGGCGTCGCCTGCCTCCCACCCTGGCAGGGAAGGCGCGCGTGCCAACTGCGCCTCTGTCGGTATGATGCTCCCATCAGGCTGCTGTGGTCGAGGGCGTGATCCTGACAAGGATGTCGTTTCTGATGTTATGGAGAACTGTTATGTACCCACGCCTTCACATTGCGAGCTGACGTCCATGTCAACTACGTGCGGTCTCCTTCCCCAGTTTCTACGTTGAACTCGGAATAAACACTCACCTATCCCGCCGCAGCACTCGGCCCGCTCCATCCCCGGGCAGAGTTTGGTGCGGGGCTTGCTCACAGAGCGATAACTTGTCGGCGCCATAGCTTCCCGCCTAGTCCGTAATTGAGCCGCTCGGTTTATTTGGCATCGTTTAGTAATCAGTCGCTTAGATCGCTAACGTCGCTGGTCGAAGCATTACCAGTCTATGTTGAAATTTACTTGCAAGATAACTCGGAGACTTCACTGGACGTGTTAGTTACATGGGCAATGTCGCGTTGGCCCGCGCCTTCATTTCATAATACCCGTGCGTTTTCGCCGGCTTGTAGGCTCGTGCTAGCGTGGTGCTTTCAGCACACCCCTCGGTACGTGCGCCCCTGGGATTTGCACCCAGCTAAATACGGCAGCTCTGCGCGAACAGCAGGCACGACTGTAGCAAACCGGTTTCTCTCGTTTGAGCCGTTCTAGGCGTAGCCGTGAATTGGGCTCGTGTGGCTTGCCGACATAATTGAGGACAAGCCCGAGCCGGCTTGAAGAAGGCAGGGTGTCCTCTTTGATCCCCGACGCGCGCTGCTGGCTGCGGGTGTCGTGAAAGCCAGACTAGCAAGGAATCCTTTGGCGCTCGGACCGACGAAACGTCCCGGTTCTAGGTCAGAGTACAATATGTAAGCTAGTGCCAGCCGCTGGTAACATCGGAGTAATTTGTATCGACGTCGTTTGTTGGTGGTTTAAGGCTCGGCCGAAAGTTTTGACAGTTCTCTGTTGGTATGCATTGCATTGGACAACAATGTTCTACAGTCCATGTGACCACGCTTGATGACGCTGTGCTCACGACGTTGTGTACAGATCAGGACTCAAAACGTGCTGAACAGAATGCAGTTACATGCATCAAGTCGTTTCTTGACTGCGGGCGGTCCGTGCCATAAATGACTTCAAACGCGTCAGACGAGGGTCGAGTTCCACCCAGCAGGCTCCTGTTCCCTGGTTCAGCTGCCGAGCGGGCATGCCGCGGCGCTCGGTCTCGGCCTCGGCCTCGGTGGGCGGATGGTCAAACTTGTTTAAATTAATGGTGTTGGAAATCGCGGGCGGTAAACAAGCCACCACCCGCGTTTATTGACTCGGGTGCTGTGCTTGGTGCCTCATAATGATCTGATAAGTTTTGTGCGCGGTGCGGTGATGCTCGTTGCCGTTTGGAATCACGCATGTTGGCATTCGGGCTATACGAACTACTGACTAGAGCGTTTAAAATATGGGGTGTATTGCTTTGGATCGATTTTTTGCCCATGTCTCATCCTTTATAGAATAATGTTGGCTTAACAGTCATAGGCCTTAGGACAATATTTAAGTACCCATCAATGGATGAAAAACATTCAGCTAGAGTTCAGTAACGGAAGCAGATGCACAGGCATTCAGCTAGAGTTCTGTATTGCTGGATTATGAAAATATCTGGCAAAAGCTAACGAGTGAG